AGTCTTTCACAGGGCACAGGCCAATAGCTCACCCTGGACAGGATGCCAGTCCTTCACAGGGCACACACATATGTATATAGTGTACGTTTCAGTGTGTACATCTTAAAGAGAGAAGTCCAGGAAAAGCACATACAAGGACCAGGGTACAAATGGATGTCCGCATCCGTTTAGGACCCAAAACACAGTTTCCTAATTAACTAACAAGCCCAAAAACTCTGAGAAGTCAGTCCTGAACTGGCACTGGCATTAAAATGGAGGGAAATCAATGATGATGAAATGAGGAGGAGACTCCCGTGCAGGAGGAGGACGGCCTGGCCCACCCCGTTTTCATGGCAACCACAGCAACAGACACCCGAAGGTCAGCATCAGAAGGGGTCTGGGTCATTCTCGGGGGAGACAAGAGCTGAACATGATCCCGGAGGCCTCTGCCAAGCTGGGGTCAGAGCGGAGACAAAGCGAGACTGCGGGCAGACCCCTGACGGGCATAGCTTCACGCTTTTCCGAGATGCCTGTGAAGGATGTGGTGAATGAAAGGCCCTCACCCTGCACCACGCCCCAGGGGTACTGCCGCACCCGCACCAGCTTATTTCCCACTTTCACCTCTTCTGTGCTTCCCACCACGGCGAAGGGCAGGTACGCCTGTAAGACACAGGTAACAGGGGTCGCCTCACAATGTGCACTCAGAACCTGTTACTACAGCAAGATCACATGCAACACCAGGCTGGAGATGGAGATATTCTCTAAATAATGTCCACAGCTTGCTATCTAACTTCTCAGTTTACGGCCAGAGTTTGCTTACTGTGTGAATGTGGTCTTGACATGTTTTCCATACATCTGGATGTTCTTATGAACAATCTATTGTTGACCAATCATTGTGTTTTTGCAGGGAGGCCGCTGTTTGACACATCTCCTGGTAGACTCACATTCATGGACGAGTTAATCTCTGCGACGGCCTCGTCGTCTGTGGGGAACTGGTAGATCTGGACGCCATTGCTGACCAGCTCGCTCATAATCTTGATCTTGAACTTGTCCAGTTCACCCTTGGAGATTGTGTCGGCTTTGGCTATGATAGGTATAATATTAACCTGCATGAAAAAGAAAGAGGAACCGTTCCAGAAAGAAACACCTTACATCACTGCAATCAACCCAGAGCTTCATTTCAAAGCAAACAACAGATGCTTCACAGAGATTTAAATATTATGCAGTCTCATTAATCTCATTTGCAAGTATTTTTTTCTGTTTTCTCAGAAAGTATGTAATCCCTGTGAAGAGTGTGTATGTTCTCCTTCAAGAGCACCACTCATTAAGTGTTTCCATCAAGAACATACTGTAAGATACTGCTGACAATCTAGGACAAAACATGCAAAAAACACTACTATCTCAAGGTCACTAACGTAACTCCGCGCAGAACTAATCAGTGTGTGTGTGTGTGTGTGTGCGTGTATGTTTTAGTGTTTTAGTACCTTGCTATCCAGTTTTTTCATGGTGACTAAATCCAGAGACTTCAGTGAGTGTCCAGTGGGGGCGATGAAGTACAGGCAGATGTGGATCCTCGTGTCGTGGTGATCAAAGAGACAGCGCTGGATCTTCAGCTCCTCCTGAAGGTAATTCTCAAACTGGCTGTCAATGTAGTCGACGATGGGCTTGTAGCTGAGCAGAAACAGGGCAGGTGAAGTTCAGCATCACACCGTATGAAGGCCATACTGAGACACACACACACACACACACACACACACCAGGGCGCCTGATCCTGGGTAACAGGAGGAGTAACACAGCGTGAGGTTAACATGACGGGGGCCATCATTCAGGCATCCTCAAGCTCCCAAATGATGCCACACAGACTTTCATTACAGCTGCTGTTATGCTGCTTTATATTTTTATGATCTATTTTGTCTATTTCTCCATTGTCTATTTGGAGTCATTTTATTTGGTAACACTTTACTTATGACATGTTTTTAGTAATGTGTAAACACATTCATAATGCATTATAATGCATTCATAAAGCATTATAAACATGGCTATACATATTTATAAAAAGGCATAACACGTTATAGTCATATTTATTATGCATTATGAATGCTCTATGGAGTTCTCATCTAGAATGCACTACAGATGCCTTCATAATGCACGATGGTGGTCGGGATAAGCATTAAGGATGCTTTGTACTGTCAGTTTTGATTGCATTACGGTCATCTCCTAACACCACATCAAGACAGACAAAGGCAGGGAGGGAGGTCTGCAGCCCCCTCACATGGTGACATACCTCTCGTCTTTGTTGATCTGGTCCCCAAACCCCACCGTGTCTACGATCGTAAGCTTGAGCTGGACGCTGCTCTCCTGCAGCTCATATGTCCTGGGTCTCAGATATACGCCATTCTGGTAGTGGTTGGCTTCATCAGTCTCAAATGTCGTGTTAAAAAGACTGTTCATTAGAGTGGACTTGCCAATACCGGTTTCACCTTGGAAACAAAGGAAGCGATAAGAATTATGTAACCACCTTATAGGGTAGGGGCATGCAGGTATACCCTATATAAATGTACCAGATTATCAGGAAAGTATCTCATCTGGAAAGGAATGGACAGGATGGACAGGGTGGACAGGGTGGGCAGGATGGACAGGGTGGGCAGGGTGGACAGGGTGGGCAGGATGGA